GGGTTTAGGGTTTAGGGTATGTTATACTTAGTATTATAGGGTTTAGGGCTTAGGGTAACAAGGAAGGTCAAAATAGAAGTGGTATGCATTGGTAATCATTTTAGCCCTCGGTCAGAAGTCCCGGGATTGAATCTGAGGATCCTCCTCACAGGCGTCATAACAAACAGATCCTCAGCCCGACACCCTAAAACGACCTCTACACCCGAACACCCTACATCCCCAAACCCCTAAAACTCACCGAACCCCAAAATCTGAAACCCTCAGCAGCCTTACAAAACCTTTTTTGAGAATCCATATACCCCCTCCCTCCTAGAACCCTTCTAGAATCCCTAAACTCGCAACCCTAATCTTCTAAAGCCTAAACCCTAAAGCCTTAGACCCTAAACCCTAAACCCCTAAACCCTCCCTCCTACACCCCTTCTAGAATCCCTAATGGACCCTTCATAGAACCCTTATACAACTAAGCCTTTTTGCTACTACTTTGTTTTCAGCCCTAACATGAAAAGGGCAAAAGGGTACCACTAGGGGACCCTAAACCCTGAACCCTAAACCCCTAAAGCCTTAAACCCCAAAGCCCTAAAGCCCTAAAGCCCTAAACCCTTGAAACCCTAGACCCCACATTCCATTATACCGTAAAAGCCCTTAACCCTACACCCCTAAACCCTAAACCCTAAACCCCTAAACCCTAAAGACCCTAAACCCTAAACCCTACACCCCTAAAAAGGCCCTAAACCCTAAACCCTCATTCCTTAAACCTGAAAGCGTAAGCCCTAAAGACCCTAAACCCGAAAGACCCTCAACCCCTAAAGCCTACACCCCTAAAAAACCCTAAACCCTAAACCCTCATTCCTTAAACCTTAAAGCGTAAGCCCCTAAAGCCCTCAACCCCTAAACCCTAAACCCTCATTCCCTTTTACCTTAAACCCCTAAAGCCCTCAAGCCCTCATTCTCCAATACCTTAAGAACCCCAAACCGACTTTTTTGTAGGTTGTATATAAACCCTAATATGGGATTTATTGGGGACCCCTACAAAAAAGTAGGTTTGGGGTTCTTAAGGTACCAGCTTTTCGGTCGGCACCTCGCCCGGCCGCAATCTCAGGAACTCGGCCAGGGCCTTGACAACGCCAGGATTTCTCAAGGGCTTTGGGTAAAAAGGGTTTCGGGCTTTAAGGGCTTTTAGGGGTTTAAGGGTTTAGGGCTTAGGGGCTTTGGGTCAAAGAGTTTCGGGTTTTTAGGGTTTTTAGGGTTTGTAGGGTTTTAGGGCTTTGGGGGTTTCAGGTTTAGGGGTTTAGGGGTTTAGGGTTTATAGGGTTTAGGGTCAAAGGGTTTCGGGTTTTATGGCTTTTAGGGGTTTAGGGTTTAGGGGTTCAAGGTTTTTGGGGTGTTAGGGGTGTTTCGGGTTTAGGGGTTTAGGGCTTTAGGGGTTTCGGGTTTAGGGTTTAGGGTTCTAGGGCGTTAGGGGTGTAGAGCTTTGGGTCAAAGGGTTTCGGGTTTTTAGGGCTTTTAGGGGTTTAGGGGTTTTAGGGGTTTAAGGGTTTAGGGCTTTAGGGGTTTCGGGTTTAGGGGTTTAGGGCTTTAGGGGTTTCGGGCTTAGGGTTTAGGGTTCTAGGGCGTTAGGGGTTTAGAGCTTTGGGTCAAAGGGTTTCGGGTTTTAGGGGTTTAGTGGTTTAGGGGTTTCGGGTTTTAGGGCTTTTAGGGGTTTAGGGTTAAGGG